TTGGCCCTTTATATCCTTGGGTGCATTGAATTTACCAGGAATGATCCTTAGGACCTTCTAAACATGAAAAAATACTCTTCACCTATAGGTCAAAAGTCGCAAGGGTCACTATAGTGAAAAGTATCAATTATTGCTAGTGACTAACGATTGGACCAATTGCATTAGACAGACTCCTACCAAACATGGGGTGTACACAGTTTGAGGTTAAAGGTCACAGTGGTTATCTCTTAAAAATGACTGGGTTCATGTTCTATTGAACATAGTATCTCTAGTTTATATTATATTTATTCAACAATGTTAACGGCTAACTTCCTTCAATATCATATATAATATACGACAGTATTTCTAGCCGTATTTCCAGATTTATCTGGCCGAACGCCCTCTTGAGGCATAGCATTGTGTAATACAATGTTCCCGACGGGTAGTTGGACCTGTTCAACCATGAAGCCTTCGTGGTCTAGTGGTGGTTATGACACTCGCCTTGTCAGCGAGAGGTCGCAGGTTCCCGTCGGAGGCATTTTATTACACAATGATTTTTCATAGGACTTTATTCGGGGTAGCCTACGATATTCCATCATGTCCTTATTAAACACTGTATATGTACCTTTGATGATTGATATTATATACACACACACACACACACACACACAGATATATATATATATATATATATATATAAATGTAGTTGGCAATACTAGCAACGTACAGTGCTCGATACACTATAACAAAAGACATGGGAAGCCTACATTCATATTGTATCTCCAGTTAAAAACAAACACAAATCAGTACGTACTTCAAATTACAATTACAAACCACTGCTGACAATTTTCAAAAAATAGTTTTTTCTGCTTCATATTACACTGAATTCTAAAACTATTGAAAACCAAAGTCCAATGAAGATGAGGGATTTTGGGACCAATATTCTTATAACTCAAACATTAAAATAAAGCAGTTGGAACAGATACCATTCCAAATTTAGGAATTTATCAACCCAAAACTTTCTTTGCATTCGAGTGTAAGCAACACTCAACTCGTAACCATAAAAGCTAAGTTTATACAGCTTTTTGGAACCAAAAAGTTCAACACAAGAAATGGGCTAAAAATATTACAGAACGTATGCTGATTGATCTATCGTGTTCAGTACAGACAACTATTTGGGAAAATTTCATTTACAAAATTTAACATCCAGACTGCAGGCAAAAATGTTTGAAATGTTCAATAAAGTGTTAATTTGCAAGTGATAAAAAGTTTTTAAAAATATGTTTTCTGTAATAAACCGATTTATAATTGAGATAAAAGCCTTTATTGCTATCTTTTTACAAAAATCGTGGATTCAGATTATATAGTTTTTAATTACCCTAAATGCACAAAAGGCGCCGCGTCGTGGCTCTTAAGAGTATATCATTACCTTTTGTAAGATTTTGTGTTTTAAATACAATGTATACTGTGTTAAGATGACTATAACACAATGAATACACAAGTATTTTTTTTTGTATTAAAGTGTTAATTTACTATGCCCTATGATAGGCCTACTGTACTACTGGAATATGAGATATGTAACATGGGAACGGGCATGAAAAGCGCCACACCAGAGTGTGCACTCTTAAGTAAAGTGGCTCTTGATTTCCATTTGTTTTTCTGTATGTTATTGTACTGATTAAAACAATAAATGTTCACCTACAATTTAGTTAGATTTTTGTAGGTTTGTTAAACACACACATGTAGAAAACAACACATTCTCGGAATCCCCTGTTTGTCAGACTAAGATATTGAAACAATTAACGACTGCCTTGAATCTACAGACTGTATCCATTCATATTCACTCAACACAGCTACTGATGCCATTGTTGTATACATCAGATTCTATAAAAACCACATCACCAAATCAAAAACAATAAAGATCTATTCAAATAGAAAACCTGGGTAAACAATAAAATTTCAACTCTACTAAAGAAAAAACATTTAAATTTATTATTGAAAAGTATTGCAAGAATTGTTATTTTAATTATAATTTAAATAAATGCCAAAAGAAAACTGGTACGTCATTTAGCCCTCCAACATGGCGTCAGAGGCCTCACTTTTTCTGTACCAGGATTGGCCGATGAGCAATCCAGCTATGGCTACGTTCAGGCCTGAGAGATATGCCAGCGTATCTAACGCCGGGCGTACGTTATTCCATTGTATAACTAGCGAGATGCCCAGACTGGGCGATTAACGAACGTAGCGTAAGTATTCGCGCGAATATTCGTATTCATAATTCGCGAAATCTATTTCTGTTTACATCTAGGCTCATTTTGATTGGTCAAATCCTGCCGTAACAGAGGCTATGTTTAGACACAACGACTTTCGCTAGTGTATCGTTAATCGAGTGATGTGAACTTTGGTGCGGCGTAGCGAACGCCAGTAATATCGCGTAGTGGCGTAGCGAACGCCAGTAATATCGCGCAGTCACTGCTGGCGTACGGTAATCCAGCAACATACCCTAGATTAGCGTACGCCA